CAAAAGGCATGTAATGATAAAGGATAAAAAGGATAAAGCATTTGCCGTTGATCAATCCCTTTTTGGGATGCGGCACGCATTCTACTTCCATTTGTACATTCGTAGTGGCGTTTGAATGCGATGTGGCCTATACAATGACTTGCGGGGGCCAGCCGATGTACAAGTCAGTGTTTTTATCCTCCCAGACAAGTCTGGTACCAATTAACCGACCCCGGAGGGATGGAAGGCTTGGTTGGCCCGGGCGACTCACGACCCAGGATTTGATCCCCGGACCGCTCGCGTGGTAAGCGTGCCACTTGCCACTACACCACTTCCGCCCTAAGTAATAAGCAACCAAAATTTACCCATTTTGTTGTTTCAGTAAAACGTTTCAGTTAGTTTTGTGTTTACTCCTAGTACTCTGTTCATTCAAATTTTTGACTGATGAAAGGAAAAGAAGAAATCAAGAATTCAGAATGACTCAGAAAACCTCCTTTGAAGCATTTACAGTCTTACAGTGGAACACGTCGTCCAGAGTGACATGTTGTTGAATAATTACTTCACTGCTATCGGAAATATTCAACTAAATAGCAAGCAACTAATAACTGGCAGGCCGTATTAGCCGCCATTGTCCCACGAGCACGTGTCTCTGGCTGCCCATATGGGCTACCGTTGGCGTGAATGTGCTAAACAAATTAGTGGATACCGATACTTTATGAATATGTAACAGCTTGTGGAGACATTAGCAGCTTGTAAAGCAATATCTTATGCTAGACTGTATTAAGCGTCCGAAGACACGTCCGATGGTCACATCGCGATTCTACAAATCTTCACCTTGCCAAATGTTTTCTTGCAAGCTCAGAATTCAGGGATTCGAGTCACCAGAACCAGTTGTGGCTGTTGAGCATTTCGTCACAGCCTCTTGTGATCTAACCTCATATGATACAGCTGACTGACTTCCTGACCGTTCCCGAAATTCTGAACTTGCGATGAAAGTATTTGGCAAGTTGTACAGGAGGCACTAAGAAAGCCTTCCATATTTGAAACGGAACAACTGTACGCTCGAATCAAACTGAACGCACCCAACTAGCGTATTAAAGCAGAGGCATTCACAAGGCGGAGTCGCCTTCTTGCTCTACCGTATCTATATATACTGTTTAACCAGTTTAGCTCCGCACGCAACCGCGCGCATCACATTGAGGGCTTCAGTGAAACTGGACAACTTGTAGAATATTAGGTCACGTGGCTGAGAAACTAATGTAAGATATTTGGAAGGTGTTTCCCATGAAGTTCAAAGGTTGTCCAATTTCGCTGGAGGTTGTCGCGTAATGCGCGCAGTAGCCTGCGGAATGAAAATAGTACTTATCATGAATTCGTAAACATCCAGCATAGATATCGAGCTCGGATGATTTAGCGGTCTATTGAATTTCCACAACTGAAGAATCTTTATTTAAGTGAAATATAATCAATCAATCAGGATCCAATCGAGCTATGATGGAAATTGCAAATATAATGGAAATTCGCTGTTAGTCCAAGTGCAGATAGTTGAGCAGCCCAACTTTCTTAGCTTCTTAGCTTCTTTGAATGAAAAGATAGGAATGGGACATATTCACGTGCTAGGGACCTGGTTTAGTTCAGCTGAGTGCACGCTCAAATTTTCGCTACTTTTATCAGTACAGTTGCCGCTCATACCACTTTCTGTCGCCTAATTTCAACCCTCGCCACCTTTAATCGCTTGCCAGTGATAATTATAACAAAGTTGGAGAGACCTGCATTCAGACGCTCATATCATTCCTGGTCATTTGTTATCAGTTCATACTGCTCGCAATCGGTGTCCCCATCCCACCCTCCAGGCAACGTGCAGGAGCTCGTGATTTATTGTCAACACGAAGGCTACAACGAAATTAGCGGTACTCAAATCCTAAACTTCCTTATCAACCGTTATCGCTTGTTATCACTTCTGATCATCCACTATCCGTGTTCCCGTCCCATCCCCTATACCACATGTGAGAGCCAAGGCTCCAATGTAACTGCGAGGGCCGCAACGAAACTGGTGGTATCCACACTTTGACGCCCTTATCAGTTCTTATCAGTTGCTACCACATTCGTTCACTCAACTTCTTGGTCCCCGCCTCACCCCACATATCATGCATGAGTGCAAACTGTCCACCGTCAACGCAAACGGCGTAACGAAATTGATGACATCATCATTTCGGCGTCCGTTATCAGTTCCTATCAGTAGTTATCACTTCCCGCCACCCATCATCAGTGTTTGTGTCCAGCCCCCCATATATCCTAGAAGTTTGAGCTCTCTGGGTCCAAAGGGAGGGAAGTTATGAATTTCCGGTCAGACACACACACACACACAACCGCTTAGCCGATTATATATAGTAGGATCTCTAAAAGATATATATTAGTGATAAGCTGAGCTTTAGCTGCATTTCTCATGCCTTAGCGCATTCCCATCTTTTCCTATCTCATGATTCACGAGGAATGGAAATTGTAGAATCGTGTGGGAATCACGATATATCTTAGCTCAAATAATAGAAGTTGAAGTAAAGTCCTCTAAAATCGGTCCTCTTCAAATAATATATAGTGGTCAAAGCAATCTCTTTGCTCAGAGTACTGGGAGCCTGGAGGCGATGTACTAGAAAACGTTCACTCCAACTCCAGATTCTTTCTCTTCGAGGAAGCTCTATAGATATGTATACTAAGAGAGGGCGCCCAAAGTTTCATGGTTTCATAAAAGTGTGGGTGCTCTGATGTCGACACGTGCGACAAAAGGACACTGGCGGCATTTGCATTCTGAGTTCGTTATCAGTTCCTTCAGTCGTTATCAATTTCTATCACCCAACATCTGTGCCTCTGCCCCACTTCCCACAACATATATGAGTACGAACACACCATCACGCTCGCTACGAGTTTCCGGTCAAACACACACGGACACGCATGAACGTATACACCAAGAGTCATACTTCGCCAATTGCAGATAGTGGGACTCTTCCACTTTTCCTTGTTTTCGAAAATGGGTTGAATCGAAGGTGTCTGCACAAACCCAACTACGCATATCATCGCAAAGTTGCACATTGACACACATACACATTATTCCTCAGAATTGCGCTTTTCCGCAGCCTCTGATTTTCTTTATGAGACCATTTGATGAAATTGAATTCTTCGTTTTCGAGCAATGACAGAAAACCGCTCTAGATCTTATGAAAGAATCGTCTTGAAAGTACTAAAATATGTCATAGAACAATCAATTTGCGAGATATATGGTCGAACTGACGTTGTCGCGGACGGTGAGGCGCTCCCAGACTCTCTAACCTCCAGCCAGAGGTTCCCATCGACCCCACTACGCTTTAACAGTACACCCCACAAAAGCAGCGGACCTAAAATAGTACACATGTATTAACGTCACACAGAGGTGGCCCATCAGCTAGCATAACGTATCAGACTCCCGACTCCCGGACCTAGGCTTTATGCCTCCACGTAGCCGACGTGTTCCATTGAAGTTTTGGTGCCGAGGATTTTATGGTGGGACAAACAGGCGGTTGGATGACTAGGAGATAATTCGTCGGGGATCTCCGGGGGATATGTCTCCTACGCCTTGAGTTGGCCTCGTCGCGTTACCCAGTGAACACTGACTTCCACCAGTAAACGGCTACTCGCGCTCGGTGATGGTAGGCCGGCCTAGACCGCAGGGGGCCCAGAAGCAATGAGTTGCTGTGTCCCAGATATGAAGCAGAGGGTGAGGCGGGGGACATCATTTGGTGGGGGCGGGGAAAAAGAGGCATATAGTTAAATAACGGCCGAGCGATTACCTTTAGGGCGGAGGAGTCAATAAAGTTGTTACCTAGGGCGCGTGAAAAGTCATTCCATTCCATCGGCGTCGTCAGCACTGAGAACTTTTCGATCACTCATTAGCCTGAGAATTTTAAAATGGTGTTTGTGGAAATAAAAGGATAAAGCATTTGCCGTTGATCAATCCCTTTTTGGGATGCGGCACGCATTCTACTTCCATTTGTACATTCGCAGTGGCATTTGAATGCGATGTGGCCTATACAATGACTTGCGGGGGCCAGCCGATGTACAAGTCAGTGTTTTTATCCTCCCAGACAAGTCTGGTACCAATTAACCGACCCCGGAGGGATGGAAGGCTTGGTTGGCCCGGGCGACTCACGACCCAGGATTTGATCCCCGGACCGCTCGCGTGGTAAGCGCCACTTGTCACTACACATACCCGAAATATAATATAATATAATAATGGGTCCGGGTCCGTGGGAATTATAGTTTATAATAGCAAAAATCGTTTTTCATTATTAACAGCCGGAAAATGACTGCTTTCTCACAGCGGTTTAGTAAATATTCGTTAATAACATCCATAGTCGAAACCATTGGAAGCATGCATGTTGCCTACACGATTCTGCTATGCTCTATTCCTCTGGAGCTTACTTTGATGTGCGCGCGGTAGCAGACGGAGTAACACATGTAACATCACTTAATTTAACTTAAAAGCCACGAGTCAGGATTAGGTGACCATAGAAGGCCTTTCCATCACTAATATTTCCAGGAATGCGCTCAGAGGGGTGATGCCACACTCCTGACTCGAGATTGCGCGCCGTCAAGGCCTCTGGCCTACTACTTACAGCGATGGGTTCGTTTCATCAGCTGGTCCCGCCCACCGCGGGATGTGGTGCGTGGCTGGCCTAACGTGTGAGATCAGCTAGGTTGATTGCCGTATCAACCGATGGAACGGCTGGCATATCCGGAAAACTCGTTTGGACGTGGCTCTCCCCCGAGCAAGCCTCCTTCACTGCTAGAAGGGAAGGGGTTTCGATTTCGGTCTTGTCGACGGTTTCTTTGCGTTTTTTCTTCACTGTCGTTCCACCTCCCATCTCTACACTCAATTTCAGGCGCCATAATGCCCAAACACGAGCCTGACTTTTGCCTTTAAAGACTCCGGATGAGGCCAGCCGGGTTATTAGTCAAATTGAGCTTCACTTATTCTGTTCTCCAGGTCGTTATTCAGTGACACACTCCTCTGTATTTCTTCTAGTAATGGCGCATTTTTGAGGGCACAGATAGTTAATAAAAGCATGGAGAGTGAAGGTGGTATAAAGGATCACTAACTTCATACTTGATTCACCATCTGAACTTCCATCACCGCTGCTCGTTTTACCAGAGCCGTGAATCTGATCTGAAGTCTTCTGTTTTAAGCGACAATCATTTTATGAAAAACTGAGCGTTAGCAAAAATCTCAACTGTTATCATTTGAAGCAGTATCCGGTTCGCCGGTGTTGCCACCGTCACCGCTACCCTCGTTGTCCCCACTACTGGTGCCGTTGCCGTTTTCAGGACCATTGGCGCCGTTTCCATTGTTGTTACCATTGAGGCCATTCCCGTCGTCTGCACCACTGGTGCCGTTGCCGTTGTTAGGACCGTTGGCGCCATTCCCGTTGTCTCCACCACTAGTGCCATTGCCGTTGTTAGCACCATCAGCGCCATTACCGCTGTCGCCACCATTGGAGCCTTGTCCATTATTGCCGCCATTTTGGCCATTTCCGTTGTCGCCACCATTGGAGCCTTGTCCATTATTGCCGCCATTTTGGCCATTTCCGTTGTCGCCACCATTGGAGCCTTGTCCATTATTGCCGCCATTTTGGCCATTTCCATTATTGCCGCCATTTTGGCCATTTCCATTATTGCCGCCATTTTGGCCATTTCCAGTATTGCCACCGTTGGTGCCTTGCATTATTGCCGC